CAGAATGAGCCTGTGTTGAAAAAAGTTGTAGTACTCAAAAAAAAAAATATTTTTCTTTTCAATTATACTAGCTTCAAGAAATTAAAGTTTAAAATTAAAGTTTATCAACTTCAAGAAAACTCAAATCTGAATTTGTAAGAACAATTTAGAAGTGTGAGATGTAAACTCAACTGCAAAATGTAAAACTATAACAGTGAGATTTAAACTCATACGATGGCCAAAATTATTAAAGTACCCTGTAAAAAATAATCATAAAAAATAATCAAATATTTATAGCAGCTGGGGTCATTTTCCTGCCGTTAAATTATAGAAATTTACCTGAAGATATCAGCTGTTTTTGTTTTGTCTGCATGTTGTGGTATTAACAAAATGAATGAAATACAGGCGATGTGGAGGCGCAGTGGGTACCGATGTCGCCTGACAGAAAGAAGCTCGCTGGTTCAAGCCTCATTTGGGTCGGTTGGATATTTCTGTGTAGAGATTGCATGTACTCCCCATGTTTGCATGGGTTTGCTCCGGGTGCTCCAGTTTCCCCCAGTCCAAAGACATGCGGTACAGGTGAATTGCGTAAGCTAAATTTCCACAGTGTATGTGTGTGAATGAGTGTGTGTGAATGTTTCAGGGGGATGGGTTGCAGCTGGAAGGGCATCTGCTGCGTAAAACATATGCTGGATAAGTTGGCGGTTCATTCCGCTGTTGCAACCCCAGATTAATAAAGGGACTAAGCCGAAAAGTAAATGAATAAATGAATGATGAATAAAATATCTATAAATAAATAAAAATAAATAATCATACTAACCCATTTAGAAAGGATTTTTTATTGTTCTTGCAAAATGGTAACTCTATTTTACTGTCAATGTTGCAAAATCATGTTCCTTCACATGATTCAAAGGAAAGCCTTTGACAGTTGTAGAAGACATGGGATAGTTTTCAGTTTTCAGTAAATATATTGAGGCTATTCCAGAGAAATGTGCTGCTGAAGTTGCTGCAAAAGGTGGTCATATACCAAATATCAAACAATACTGTATAGAAACTATACAGTATGACTTGATTCATCTGATACTTGCCATGCTAAGAACTTTCTACCTGTCCTATGAACATCATAAAGGTAAATCATGTTTTGAAAACGAAAGATCAACATTTTTAGACCTGTAATAAACAACTAATAAAATCAGAATAACACTAAATGAACTGCCAATCCATTTACCATAGACCTTTCTGCCACGACCCAGCACTGAGAGTACAACTCATGAACCAACAGTGCTGGGAAACACACATACACTCTCCCATTATGGTCAGTGAATTTAGTATACCTAAACTGGAAAAAAAACACACAATTCCTTCATGCGGTCCCAACACAAATTGATTCAGATTAAGTTTTTTTTTTAAATCTACTGTAAGTGGACTAAACCTAAAACAGTTAAGTTGTCCCCCAAAAACTCAAGATATGTGTTGATTCAGCTCATTTTAAAGGGCACCTATGGTGAAAAATCTACTTTTCAAGCTGTTTGGACAGACATATGTGTAGATATAGTGTATAGACCATCATATTGGGGTGAAACAAACACACCCAGTCCTTTTTTTTTCATTTTAACAACATAAAAACGGTGGACCAATTGGTGTGGTTTTCAGACCGACCGCAACTTGATGTAGGAGTGGGGTCCCCCCGCACACCGAATAGATTGACAGTTTTGCATAGTAACATGTCCCAGCAGTCACTTATATAATCATACCAACAAGACCAGACGTGCGCAAAGCAACTGGGAATTAAAGGTCTGTTCAGTTTGCTAGGATCATCAATCATCATCAAATGTGATCAAGAGTAATTTTCACATGTTTAAAATGTTTTAAAACAGTGCACGTGTGTAATGAATTACAGCGATTTACTTCAGCTATACTTCATCAGCACAGTCGCGTGTCAGAACAATTATAAAGGAAGACTCTTCAATTCCGTATTTGTGGGCGTTAAATCAGGTTTATTTTGTACATTAACATAACAGATATCCATACAGCAGTGGAGTAGCTGTATCCTGTCACATTTGCGTACAAAAAAATGTCAAGCTAAATGAGCTCTGTCTGTCTGTTTGTGTGTGTGTGTGTGTGTTTGTGTGTGTGTGTGTGTGTGTGTGTGTGTGTGTGTGTGTGTGTGTGTGTGTGTGTGTGTGTGTGTGTGTGTGTGTGTGTGTGTTGGTCTGTATCTGTGTGTGTGTGTGTGTGTGTGTGTGTGTGTGTGTGTGTGTGTGTCTGTGTGTTTGTGCGCACGTGAACTTTGTACATTGACATTGTGTGTCGATGCATCTTCACAATAAATACTCATTGGTAAAGTTCTTACTGTAGTATTTCTCACAAACGCTATGTGAGATTTTGTCTGACGCAGCCGAGGGAGGAGATTAAAGCACGCAGAAAGGTACGTAGAGTAGGAGGGGAGTACTAGCCTTAAATGCGCAGTACGACAAAACAGCCCTCTGGTGGAAAAATGTATAAAGTGGAATCTTGTAAAAGGTATAATGAAAAATCTGATAAATGTTTTGAGCTTAAACTTTAAATACACATTCTGGAGACGCAAAACACTTATATTAAATCTGAGAAAGGGGTAACCTAGGTGCCCTTTAAAGAAGTAGTTTAAACATTCATTCATTCATTTTCTTTTCAGCTTAGTCCCTTTATTATTCCGGGGGTCGTCACAGCGGAATGAACCGACAGCTTGTCCAACATATGTTTGAAGCAGCAGATGCCCTATATGCAACCCATCATTTGGAAACATCCACACACACTCATTTACACACAAACACTACGGACAATTAAGCCTACTCCATTCACCTGTACTGCATGTCTTTGGATTTGTGGGGGAAACCGGAGCACCCAGAGAAAACCCAGGCCAACACGGGAAGAACATGCAAACTCCAAACAGAAACGCCAACTAAGCCAGCCAGGGCTAAAACCAGTGAACTTCTTGCTGTGAGGCAATTGTGCTGTCCACTGCGCCACTGTGCAGCCCCGTAGTTTGAACAAGCAGCAAAGAATTGTATTTTGTGTGAGTATTGCATGGACTGATATCGGGAAAACTGGAACACCCAGAGAAAACACAAACATGGGGAGAACAGGCAAACTCGACACAGCCAGGACCTTCTTGCTGTGAGGCGACAGTGCTAACCACTGAGCTCAGCACTCTTTATTCTCTTCATTAGCTGCAGCAGTAGGAATGTCCCGTCCAGCCGTGGGTCTCATTTTCTAAAGCTAGTGTGAATAAACAGCAGGGTCATGTAGGAATGTCTGACACTTGACTGCAGCTTGTGAGTCGCCCCACGTCAGAATGATTTGTGGCACTGTTTTTCTTGCTAGAATGCAGCATTGAAGAGCACTGAATAGACTCCTAGTAGAGTTACATTGGTATAAACCCTAAATGCTAGTAATTAAATTAAACACATTAAAATAACACATTGCATTTTTTGCCCAACAAAGACAAGCAATATAATAACTACAGCAACAACAACAATATAATAATAATAATAATAATAATAATTATTATTGTTATTATTATTATTATTATATTTTACTGATTATTATTATAAATTATTAATTAATTCATTGATATGAATATATGTATTAATAATATTGTTATTATTATTATTGTTATTCTTAAAATATATGTTATAAAAAAGATGTCTGTTAAGTATACATTAAATAGTGTTAAGTACTGTGCTAATTAAGTGGACGTATTTTTGTTAAGTTGGCATTTTAATTTCTCAAACATTCACTGATGATATGGTCAGAACAACTGAACAAACTCACTGACATTTCATTGGCTGAAGGAAGGGCTGTCAATCATGGCCACAGCACCTGCGCGCGCCCTGGCCGTTAAATGAGCGCTGCGTGACGACTGCGCGTGAACTCAGGAAACCCTGCTGGATTTACGTCCGACTTCATCGGCCCGGTAAGTGTGTGCGTGTGTGTTTAGGTGTCTTATTGGGGATACGCTGGTAGTAATGCGTGAAGGTCAAAAATCTGATAGCAGAATATGTCGAATTTGTCAAAAGTTTTGTTCATCTGTAAGTGATTGGAGCTTCTCAGTTCATCTTCAAATGTCATTTGAGCTGCAGAAATGAACATGCCGACTTTTTCCACGCATCCTGCGGATCGGGTGACATTTACTTTGGGAAAAGTGAGGATTTCAACTTTCACCTATTTCTTAAATTAGTCATAAAAATCCTCACGGTAACATTTTGAAACTAATTTAACTGCACCACGATTCTGATTTTCTCTATTTATTCCATGAAGGTGTTTGCGTGGTCACCAAAGCGAAAGTTGTGTATTTTTCATTTATTTGTTAATTGTGGGTTAATTTTTGTAGGTTATCTGCATTCTGATGTAGTGATAACTGGACAATTAGTAAATGTTTGTTGAGTCAGGATGTTGTTATGGGAGCAGATGTAACAAGAGATTTACATCTTAACTGACTGGTGATCAGATTAGAGGAGATTAGGAAATCTTCCTCTTGGCTAAAACTGACGGGGAAACTGACCATGTGCAGAAGTGACCTGTAAAGAAAAATAAAATCATATCTAAAAGCCAATCAGCTGCTCCATTTTGCTATATATCTGTGATGAAACCTGTCGCTGATGCTCAAACGTTTTGTAGCCTATTTATTTTTATTATAAATCTAAATTCAGTTTTCACATCCTGTTTGGGCCAAATGTGGCATGCGTGTGTGCAATTCTGTGAGGTTTCTTAGACCTCACTTTAAATAGGCTATAAGTTAAAGCACAAATGTATATTAATAGTCATAAGGGTATTTAATATCCACATCACCTTTATTTAGCAGTTTATCTGTTTGGTTCATTTCCGAAAGGTTGATATTTGAGGAAGATATGCGAGACTGTCAGAGAACAGGGACCACCATCTCGAACTCTTTAGGCAATGTACCTCTGGGTGGCCTTTGCTAATTTTAGGCTGTGCCTGAGTCTAGTGGAATTCTGGAGCATAAGGGTTTACCTAACTCACTTATAGGTCTGGAGATAGATCAGCTACAGATAGACACCATAACTCTTTCTGTAATGACACAGTAACAGTTTTATGATGGAAGCTTTGTCAGGTTTATGGTTCAAACAAAACCTGAGGTGAGTGGATACAACTTTAGTGTGATATCTGTTGAATTTATTCATCAAATTCTGTCTGACAACATTTTAGTATCATGAGCTAAAAGTTTCTATAGTTCTATATGCATAAAATTTTTAAAATGTCTTAAAATATTTTTTTATGAATAACATCTTACAATAATAAGCAGAATTAAAAGAAGGGGATAAAAATAACAGAGATAACCCCAATGACCCAAAATCTTTTTTTTTTTAAATAATTTTTTTGTGTGTGTATTGATATTAGTTGTGGGCTGCTCGGTGGCACAGTGGTAGCACGTTGGCCTCACAGCAAAAAGGTCGCTGGTTCGAGTCTCTGCTTGGTCAGTTGGCATTTCTTTGTGGAGTTTGAATGTTCTTTCAATGTTTGTGTTTGTTTCCCCTGAGTGTTCTGTGGGTGCTCCTGTTTCTCCCACAGTCCAAACACATGTGCTCTAGCTGAATTGAATAAACTAAATTGTGTGTATGTGTTTGAATGCGAGGGTGTTTCCCTGTACTGGGTTGCAGCTAGAAGGGCATCCGCTGTGTAAAAATAGGGACTCAGCCTTTCTTGGTTGCCTTTAAATAAAACAGTTTACTCCTTGACCTGTGAATGGCAGCTTTCAGAATATGCTAATGAGCTGAACTTTGCTGTGAGTTGAGGACAGTGATTGAGTATAGCTCTATGTGTAAAGCAGATGAGCAGGCTTGTGTTGAGTCAGCACTGGATACTGTCTATATGAAACATAGACAGAGACTGGAAGTCTGGAGTCCTTCTCACATTTCCTGGGAAAAGAAAGAGCAGCCTAGAAATCCAGACACAGACCATGCTGTCTCTACAATGTGACAGTTTCATATTTCAAAGTACCTGTGTTGGTCAGAAACCTGCATTTTTAAGCCAGAAAGGATAAACTTGCATGACAACATTGTACAAAAATAGAAAAGCTTTTCATTTTGTGATTTTGAAATGTTTTGCATGGAGACAGAAATGTTGTTCAGTTGATCCCTTTTACACAGATCTGCAAATCTGTCAAAAAAAAAAAAAAAAAAAAGAGTATTTTGCACACCAGACCAGTAAGTAGCGATCTCAGTTTGTAAACATACATACACAACTGCTCACATACAGTATACAGTCTCGTATGCAGTTTGTCAGTTTTGCTTTGGGACATGTATCCATACTGCAGTGCACATACTGTACCTCACTTTCAAAAAAAGTCTGGCTGACAAAACCCTAATGTCATATATAAAAACTGAATACAATTGGAAGAATTCTGATGCAAAAACCTCTTAATGCCATCTGAAATTACCTTCAAAAACCAACATTTTTCTCTACCTTCTTTGTTTATTTTAAATTTCACTTTACAGATGATGAAAATAACCTATTCGTTGACATAAAAGTGAATTTGCTGAACCTATCCACAAGAGCCTGAGAAAAATGCTCATTTTAGAAGAAAATATTAGATGACATTATAGAGGTTTTTGCATCTGAACTTTTCATTTGTTGTTAATATCTCAAATTCAGTAAAGTTATATTTGAAAATTCAGATCAATCAATATTGATGATAAAGGTGCTGTAAATTCTTTTTTGTTTGGATGGCGCATTGGTTCAGTGGTTAGCACTGTTGCCTCACTGCAAAAAAGTTACTGGTTTGAGTCTCAGCTGGGACAGTTGGCATTTCTGTGTGGAGTTTGCATGTTCTCCCCGTGTTGGCGTGGGTTTCCTCTGGGTGCTCCGGTTTCCCCACAGTCCAAAGTCCTGCAGGATAGGTGAATTGAATAAGCTAAATTGGCCGTAGTGTATGTGTGTGTGCAAGAGTGTAAAGAATTAGTATTTCCCAGTACTGGGTTGCGGCGCTCTGTAAAACATATGCTATTTAAGTTGCCATTTCTAAGGGACTAAGCTGAAGGAAATTAATGAATGAATACTTTTTCATTTTTTATGGTCTGTTTGTTTTTCATATTTCATATTTTATTTTTTTAAAGGAATAATTGTTTTCCTCAGTGAATGTTGTAAAAAGTAGATTAATTAGAATATTTTTATCACTAGAGCTTGACCAACATTGACCAACATTTTATAAGCGTATGTTTTATGTCTTAGAAATGCACATTTAACAGTAGGTTAAGATGAGATACAGATGTATATATAATACCAACAACCAAATTTTAAATTTAAAATTTTAGGTTAGAATTATAAGTTGCATTTAGATTATTCTGCGTGTGTATGTGTGTGTGTGTGTGTGTGTGTGTGTGTGTGTGTATATATATATATACACATGTTTTTGTTGTGAACCACAGAACACTCTAAAAATATATAAATTAAAAGTTTTCTGTATTTTGTGATTCATGTTTTTGTTTTTCCCAGTTTATTTATGCTTCTGAATTGCATTTGGATTTATGCTTGTATTTATGATTAATTTATGTAGCGCCGCTGTCCTGCGAAGCACAACATTTTGTTTCTCTGCATGTCTACACATGCAGCGGAATGACAATAAAGCTTGACTTGACCTGACTTGAATATTTATCTTTTCTTATACATTTATATTATTACAAACTGTTAAAATGTCAATAAAAGTCCCTTTGTTACACTGGAGAGATGAATTTTTAACATCAAAAGTCGACAGAGCAGAGATCAGCATCTCATAATGCAACTAACAACCAAACATAAACAGAAAACACTAGTGAATCACACAATACAGAAAATGTTAACAGATATTTTTACAGTGTAGCCTAACAGCAGTATTTTTGTACAGTATAACAGAAATTAGATAATGCATTTGCACAGAACACTATAACTTAACAAAAGTAATGTAAATAGATCGAATGAAGTGCATTTTATCTAAACAATTTTTATTGTAAAAACCATTGTTTTAACCATTTTATTTGCCAGACAAAGTATTTTGTGTATGACCCTGGACAAAACTATACAATAAAACCTTGACATTTACAAAAAAATCTATCAAAATATTTATAGCCTTTGCAATATTGTTTCATAATCCTAAATTAAACTGATGTGGCAATAACAGTAGGACACATCTGGCTTATTTCAAAAGATATTTAACCATAAACTGCATGGTTGAATAAAGCATGAAGATACTTTTAGGGATAAGCTAGCCTTAGGTCTTCGATGGCTATGAAACCCCGTTGTATCCACAAGGGTTCACACACTTGGACACGGGCAACCAAATGCTGTCAGGCAGATTATTTATGGTCCATCAAAGAGACGGTTTTACCACCACAGCTATTCATGGAAGCAGTGATCTTTAGAAAGCAGAAAGCAAGTGATGATGAATGGACTCCTGTCGCGAAATATCGCTGTCACCATATGGAGTTTGGCCTATATCTCCAAATACACTCTCAGATTTAAGACAGTGTGGACCATGATTTTATAGTGTCACATAAAGGTAACTGTTTGTATATTTTTTATTTTATTCTTTAGAGGCAGGATGGAGGAAGCTGAGCTCTTAAAGGAACGTCTTCAAGCGATTACGGTAACCTGCTTATTTCAAGACTCTCTGAAAACATTGATTCTGATTGTTTTTGTATAATGATATTTTAGGATATTTTTACATGACTACAATGTATTATAATGACAATTAAAAAAAATTATATCAAAAAAAGTCACACACAAGCTACAGTATTGTCTTTGTTCACACTGATCAGTGAACTCTACAAAAACATGCTGTATTATGGATACCAAGTCAGTAAAAAATACACAAGATGTGTAACAAATTCATCAGAGACTAAAATTTGATCATTTTCAAAAACGTATTCAAACCACTCTAACATTTTTGTTAGGGTACATAAATAATGAATATAAACTAACCGGCCACTTTATCAGGTACAGCTGTGCAACTTCTTGTTAATGCAAATTTCTAATCAGCCAATCACATGGCAGCAACTCAATGCATTTAGGGATGTACACATGGTCAAGACAATCTGCTGCAGTTCAAATGGAGCATCAGTATGGGAAGAAAAGGGGATTTAAGTGAACATGGCATGGTTGTTGCTGCCAGACAGTCTGGTCTGAGTATTTCAGAAACTGCTGATCAACTGGGATTTTAATGCACGGCCATCTCTAGGGTTTAAAGAGAATGGTCTGAAAAAGAGAAGATATTCGGTGAGCTGCAGTTCTGTGGGCACAAATGCCTTGTTGATAACAGAGGTCAGAGGAGATTGGCCAGACTGGGCTGAGCTGATAGACAGGCAACAGTAACTCAAATAATCACTTGTTACAACCAAAGTATGCAGAAGAGCATCTCTGAACCCACAATATGTTGAACCTTGAGGCAAATGGGCTACAGCAGCAGAAGACCACACTGGGTGCCACTCTTGTTAGCTAAGGACCGGAAACTGAGGCTACAATTCCCACAGGATCTCCAAAATTGGACAATACAAGATTTTGAAAACGTTGCCTGGTCTGATGAGTCAAAATTTCTGCTGCGACATTTAAATGGTAGGGTCAGTATTTGGCATCAACAACATGAAAGCATTGATCCTTCCTGCCTTGAATCAAAGGTTAAGGCTGGTGGTGGTGTAATGGTGTGGGGGGTATGTTCTTGGCACACCACAGGCATTATGGATGTGCAGCCGACAAATGTGCAGCAACTGCGTGATGCTATCATGTCAATATGTCCCAAATCTCTGAAGAATATTTCCAGTACCTTGTTGAATCTATGCCACAAAGGATTAAGGTAGTTCTTAAGCAAAATGGGGGTCCAACCCGGTACTAGTACGGTGTACATAATAAAGTGGCCCATTGAGTGTATACACTATGTATATTGTTAGTAGTTAATATTGACAGCATTCATTTGTATATTTGATCATTATAACAAATTTCTCTTTCATGTCTATTTGGGCTTGTGTTTATTCGCTTAAAGAATAAGAAGAAAATACAAGAAGAAATTGCCCTTAAGCGGCTTGAGATTGACAGAGAGAAACTGAAGCTTCAACATGTCAAGGTACCTTTTACATGATAAATGTGTAGTTTCCAATTCGTTAGCATTTTTTCAGAATGTTATAGTTTGTCTTGTATTTAATGCTTGTCTGTGTGTCTTTCATAGAAAAGGTCCATGCGAGATCTGTGGCTCATGGATGGGATGAACAGCAGTACTGCTCAGGAAACTCAAAAAGCTCTTGAAGATGCACAACAAGCTAAAAACCTTAAGAGCAACATACACCGGTAAGACGTCGCAACACAGGTGCACTGTGAAAACGTACCCCTGTATATTTCTGGAGTTTGTGAACCATTTAGCCAGAGCTACATATGGTGCATTTAATATATAAAACGAATGCTACCGCAGTCTGTTTGACCCACTAGGGGGTCCTCACAACCCACTAGTTGTCCGAGCCGTTTCCTTGCTGAAATATTTTTTTTTTTGCATTTTACAAATTATCTTCATTGACAGTGCTTTGGTATTTAAATATTTATAAATTATCACTGTCAAAAAAAACGTCATAACTTTATTAAAGTTGAAATTGTTTTTGTGTGAAGGTCATGTGATCAACAGGAACTCGCACCATCTCATTTCTCATATGTGTTCTGTTCTCACGGTTTGAGTTTGTTCTTCAAACAAGACCGAAAGACCTGCAAGACCAACCAGTCACCACAAGAATGTGAATCCATACACAGATGCAGACATTGCCTTTGCTTTATTGCCTGCCCATTATATTCCTGATTCATTCTGGAAATTGGACCGCAAAATGAAACAAATCTTACGTTATTCTTCAGGCTTAGAAAAACTGAGGAGAAAAATGATGACGAGAAGAGACAAGTACAAAATAATTTTTAGCATTGCTTTTAATGCTAATTAGGCTGCTTTAATCTAATAATACAGATATTGAAAATAGTCAATTACAGAGTAATAAACGTCATATACTTGTATGTAATATTTATTTTCTTTGAAATTATATTTAATAAGCAATAAAAGCATTGTGGGCCAGTTTACAATAGCAATATTCCACTATTTAGAGCAAGGGAGGGCTCGAAAGTTATACTGCTTAGGGCCCCCAAATGTACAGGACCAGCCTTGGGTTAGAGTCTATCAAAGAACAGTTCCAGAAAGCAGGTAAACCTAAACCAAAAGACAAAAAATAAAATAAACAAGTAAATAACAGGGTGAGAATGTGGTAACATCTAGAAACGTGGTGAAAATCAGGCAAGGGTTTTTCTTTTTCTGGATTGCTTTTGAAAACACTATCGGTTTGGTACAGGCAAAGGTTGAGCGGGTCAATTGGTGCTTTTGAAAAACAAGAAAAATCGGTTGGATTTAGGGAAAGGGGCAGGTGGGGTTATCAGTTGGTCTGTCAGTTAGTCAGTAAGTTAATTGACAACTGCCTTTGGTGAATTTACGCCAGAACAGCAGGCGCGCATGGCACTCACAAGAGAAATAATATTTGAATAATGAAAAATCGTACACAGCGACCTCTGGTGGATTTGCCAAAAACTGCAATATATAACTTACAGCCTGGCATGTAATTCAGGAACTCCAGAAATGTTTACAGGTGTACATATCAATAATGAGCCTGGGTTGGACATAGGATGTTAAAGTACTACTATTTAAACCATATAGTATCATTTATATGATCTATGGCTGTCTTAAAAACACAAATGAGTTTTTTTGGATAAATGTCAGTTAGATTAGAGTTATCATGGAAAATCATGTTTTCTGGCATCTTCTGAATACTATGAATACATATTCTGTCTGAGTTGCTGTTGAGAGTTCAGACTTTTAAAGGTCTTTTTTACTGAACTCAGTGAACTTCAGGGTTGGCTTGATGTTTCTCAGCAAGTGCCCTGTGGTGCCCTAATGAAATCTATTAGAGTGAAGCATGAGGCAATAGCTGTGCAATGCTTCGTAACCACATTTGCATTGTAGTAGCAGTGAAGTCAGAGGAAAATGCTAAAAAAAGCTGTTCCCATGTCCTTGAAAAGCTGCTACATGCAGGTCACACCCTGGCACAAATTCTGCTGCCGGGTTCATTCTTGGCCAGTGTGTTTAATGATTTAGGCTGAGCATCAGGAGTACATTTAAACTTCTACTCTTAATCCTTTCAGACTTTCAGGATTCTCTGTTCTTAAGGCTTTCATTTCAAAACAATATGCCAACATGAAATGAAAAATAAAATAATGCAAATTGTTGATCTTTAATTTACATTTCTTCTAAAGAATACAAACGTTCAGGTTTTTGTTTTATAGAGTGTGAATTATTAGAACCCACTTTACATTATAACAGAGATATTTAAATGATACAATAGTTCTCCTGAAAATTAAAGTTCTGACATAATTTTTTTTCTTACCTTTTACTTGTTTCAAACCTTTATGAGTTTCTTTCTTCTAATAAACACAAAATGGGCTATCTTAAAGAAAGCTGAAATTGACTTCCATAGTATGTTTGTTTTTCCTACTAAGGAAGTCAATGTTTACAGGTTTACAGCTTTCTTCAAAGTATCTTGCAATTTTTAGTATATATATATATATATATATATATATATATATATATATATATATATATATATATATATATTTTTTTTTTTTTTTTTTTTTCAATTTTAATTAATAAATGCTATCCTTCTTTTTTCTATATAATCTATGAAGTATTGGCAAATATGTCAAAAAATCTAAATAAAATAATTGAAAATGTTGTGCTGCCATGCTTAATTCAGAATATTTCACAAATTACAACACGTACAGCTTTATAGTCCTTTGATTGGATGACAAATGTTTAATATCAGGGACAGAAGGCTTTAAATTTGATGAAATGGCCCAGAAGCATGTTAAAAAACATGTCCAATAGTATCTGGATGCAGCCTTGGTTATGCAAGCTGAAACTGCAAGTTTTGAAGTTGCAATGTCAGACACAATGCGCTTAATAGCAATAGAGCTAGTGACTTCACTTTGAGGGGTAGGGCTAGGGGTGGGGTTAGGTGCGTGTATTAAAAAGCAATGCATGCCGATCAGATTGCAACTGCACCAGGTCTGCATCCAGACCCTCTGATGTCCACTAAGTGGCTACAGGGTCTAAAAGGGTTGTTTACATTTGCTTTGATAATGCCATAACAGCTTACTACAGTACACCTGTAGAATTTTGAGAAAATAAATGAATTTAATCCATTTTGGAATAAGCCTGTAAATTTAACAAAATGTGGGAAAAATGAAGCGCTATGGATACTTTCCGGATGCATTGTATGCTTTGTATTAAGTGTAAACAGTGAAAATGTAAAACTGTAGAATGTAGAATGGTTGGGTTTAGGGGTAGGATTGGGTAAAGAGGACAGAATATACAGTCTGTACAGTATAAAAATCATTACTTCTGGGAAGTCCCCATAAAGCATGAACATGAAATGTGTGGATGTGTGCTTGTTTGTGTGTGTTAGCCAGGTAAACTCTAGAGATCGTCAGATTTAGAAAGTGTTGTTTTAAATAATTGTGTCAAATTCTCTGTAGGATAGAGAAGGAGATTGAAGCATTGGAGAGGGAGGAAATGAACATCTCAACAAATGAAGGGCTGATTCTGAAGAGGCTTAAAGTTGTTGAAAAGTCTCCAGAGGACATCATTAAGGTATGGTGGTTTTGATGTGGCTAAATTTACATGCTCCATGTGAAAGTGAATATTTACTGGTACATTCTTTGTGTATCTTTACAGGCAGTAAATGCAGACTTTGCATCAGGTAAAAACTGTAAACCTGCATGACAGTCATAATGCTGACTATTAAAAATATAACAGCATTTATTTTCTGTGTTGAATTATGGTTTCTGATTATTTTTGCTTTTTTTTTGCAGAGCCAATCTATATCCATTCAACAATTCCAAATATGCTAAAGCCTAGCACACCTCTATTAAGTCAAAGGAAGAGACAAGACTTGGAAACTGAAGCAAAAAATGACAAAGGCAAACCCGGTAACCTGAAAGAACACTTCAGATTGTTTTCAATGTATATTTATACAGTATTATACCATAGGACTGCAAAAAATAAGTGTTTCCTAAACTGTGGTTCACATATTCCTGGAGTTGGTTAGTTGATTAATAAAACAAACTGAACAAATTTATCAAAAGATACAAACGTAAACACACATTAAAAAAATAATGTAAGAATGAAATGCTTGTTTAAAAATCAAAGAAAAGGATTGCGAGCTCTAAGTTGATCAGTTTAATTTTCTCTTGTATTGTTAATTGTTTCAATTTCTTTGCAGCAATGAATTTATAGCCAATTACACACGTATTTGCTGAGTGTATGAATACAAATCAGTCGGCTATCGGAAACATTTAGATTAGTCATCACTGAAAAAGCTATTGTTGGGTTCATGCTCACTGGCTGAATTCTGTATCTTAACTGAAATTATATACAGTGAGAGATTCATTCCACTGCTTCAGTTAATACAATGGGAGTTGCCTTCAGTTGATCATAGTGGCAAAAAATGCTAGTGCAAATTGGTTGAAAAAACGTCCTGATTAGAGCATCCCTATAACAAAAACAGACAACTAAGAAACAACTAAGAAATATGTGATGCTAAAGTATGTTAACACTTTTTATTATTATTATTAAAAGTTAAAGTGTATTACATTTGTGCCACCAAACTGAAAATAAAAAAATAACCAAACAGCATTCTTATATCAGTCTGGCTGAAATTGGGTGGTCAAACAGATTGCCCCTCCAAACTCACTCTATTGGTTGAAATTAATCTAGAAAGCAGAAATGAGCTGTAGGCCATATTAAATAGACATGTTATCTGTGTACATTAAAGGGATAGTTCACCCCAAAATGAAAAATTATCATGTTTGTCGCTGTCCAGGTAGATGACATTTTCTGAGCTCAAAAAAACACTCAAATTAAACAATTCTCCATATTAATAGGAGTTTTTTGTTCTAACCAACACCTGGAATATATATTTTAGAAACGGCTTCCATTTCTCACAGGTGAACAACAGGATAAATGATAATGATCACCTCAGGTAAACCTCATGTGCTTTATTTTGTGTTAAATGCTAATAATATGAGTTTGAATGCCATTTTACATGACATTTAATGCCAATCTACTGAAAGCAGCAGAAGATAGTTTAACTCAGATCTTGAAAAAAAATTAAATTTAGAACTGTGACTCATGCCAACACATATCAGGGATTCAACATGTACATTTAATAATGTTAAAAAGAGGTTTAATATATATTAATTAGATTATAAACCTACACATGTTGTTGGAGTGCAGTGAGTGCAAATGGCTGTTTAAATTCCTGTCATGTTTAATTTGGTGCAAACAGAGAAATTAATAAAAAACCTAATATTTACGTTCGTAATATTCATATTATTTGCTATAATAACAACCTCATGTGGAACTCTGAATCTGCGTCTCATTTTGGAGGCTGCTATTGTCAACCAGCTGTCGCATTTTGGTCTTGGACACATACTTTAAGAGCCTTCCTGACTGAATGAATGAAATGACAGTTTTCCACAAAGGTACCCAGGGGTGCTGAAATATAATTGGCTAAACTGGCATTGGGCAGGTTAAAGAGACCAAAACAAAGACAGGCATTCTGGCACGCAACACACATTTTCAAAGCAGAATATCTGACTTAAGCATTATTTTTCGAATAAACAAGAATGTTCACTTGACATGTTTCTTAAATATCTGCAAAAATATTATGGTATTTTTATGCTTTAGAAGAGTCAAAAACTTACATACAGAACCTTTAAGTAAACTAATTTAAAAGTGTGGAGATAGGGCAGTAGAGGGATGATGAAGATTGAGAGGGATAAAGGGGTGGGACATACTTAATTATTTATAAGGGTTTGTATTAATGCTGATTGGACATTTATATGTCAATGATCTGTGTATGCTCCTCCTGAAATTAGCTTATAAAACTTCACTAAATTTGTATTGTTGGGTGAACTATCCTTTTGAATGTGCTTATAGTACAATATTCAAAATAATATATTTGATATAAATTCCATTTATCTCTTACAGCTTTGTTTGCCATGGAAATTAATGTTCAGAAAGACTTGCGCACTGGTGAAAGCCAAGTTATTTCCTCCTCCACCATTTCTCCTCAAGAACTCCAGCAAAGGGGCATCAAAGTCTACGATGACGGCCGAAAGTCTGTCTACGCCTTGCGAACAGACGGCCACCAGCCTGGAGCCAACGGAGTGGATGAACTCAGTCCTGTGGAGGTCGAAGAGCTGCTCAGACAGGCCTCAGGAAAGAAGAAATTGGGCAATCAAGTAAACCCTTCATACCCCTACAGCATGCCCCATGAACTACAATCACCTCCTGACAACCGCAAATCCAATGGAGGTCAAGATCCTTACAGCGTGGACCTATCAGCATGGCCTGAGCTTGTGTATAATGATGGCGTTGGGTATCCAGAGGATGCAGGTCATAGACTTCCTCTTTTGCCAATGCCGAATTACAATGACAGACCAGACGAGTACTTTCACAACACCAACTACAGCCATGAGTTACACAGAGGAGAAAGACGTAAGCATGGACCATATCACAACCGGGGAACGAGGCATTTGGATCATGACATCAGAAACAACAGCTCCTGTTCTGCCTACTCTGAGGACTCCAAAATCAGTGTCCTGAACGCTATGCCATCGGACGAACCCGTCACTATGATCTTCATGGGCTACCAGAATGCAGATGATGACAGTCAGAGCTTCGAGGGATCTGTTCGGGCTGAGCTGGTGATCATTGGGGATGGAGAAGATGATTCCAGTAGGATCTGTCAAACCAATCTGAAGTCAAATTCAAACCGAGGCGACGTAGAGGACGGGGCAGTTACAGGTACCGAAAAGAGCAGAAAGGTCAAAAGAATGCACAAGCACTGCTGTGTGTTGATGTAGGTCCACTAACACTAACACTTTCAGATCTTCTATGATGCAGCTCACCAGAATGGCTTCCTTCCGCTTTGCATGCTGGGTTTCGGTTTTCAGTGTCTTAACAAGTTTGATTGTTCTTCTTGTTGGCTGATGATGATCAAAAAATATTGTTGTATATGTGTAGCTTTAAAGCATGGGTCTTCAACTGGGACGTATTATGTGATGTTTATTTATAAACAAATTTTGAGAGGATCACGTGCTTATGATTGTTCACAGCTGTTCCAGATTTAGCTAATGACTAATTATCCTATCAGACGATCCTTAACTCACTATAAATAACCAAAGTGTGAACTTGTGAATATTACTTTAAAGAAGGGGTCTTAAACTGGTGGCCCGCAGATCAATTTCACCCCCCACCCCCCCCCCCCCCTCCTCCATCCGGCCCGCAACTGACGTCAAAAATATTTATGAGATTGGCCCCCCGAAACATATATTTTTGAATCACTAGATTTTTGTTGTGCAGTCGCTAGTACACTTGTGGTTTTGACCCCCACCCACTGGACATTTAAAGTTCTGTACTATATATTAGGGTTACTTTCGATTTCTTTCAGTGTGCGGTCGAATGTAAAGCACATGAAGATTATTTCTGGGACTAATTTAAATGAAATATATGTCCGTAAGTGCTCTGTTTTTACTAAAGCTATATTTTTAGTAAATATTCAAGGATCATTTGATTATAATCTGTTTTATTCCAGCTGTATTGTGTTGTACAAACACTTCTTCATGGCTTACACATTATGCTGGTGGTTTAAATATAATAGTTTTGCTAATATTCAATTCAAATTGTCTCATTAATAGATGTTCCTAATATGCATATTAAGAATTGTATAAAAATAAAAACATACTTTCCCCCTCTATGTTGTAGTTTTACAAAAAAAAAAAAAAATGATATTGAAAAGAACAACTGCCAGTAAAGTCAATAAAGTTACCCAAACTGCATTCTGCTGTCTTACGTTATCTGTTAAACTTTTGGTTATGCAACAATTGATTGGGACAGAATAATAATTATTATTATTATTATGCCTATTAATAATTTTTTAGTACTTTTATATAGTCTTAAACTACATGTTCAATATGTACAACAAGAAATAAAAATTAGCTTTGATACTCCGGGAGAGAATGTCTGAGTGCATCAATTACATCAAGTTTCCACTTTTTCTGTGTGCTTGAATGTTAAAACGGCCCTCCAATGAGTTGTCAGTCACTGATATGACCCCCTGTCAATTTGAGTTCGGGACCCCTGACTTAAAGGGATAGTTCATCCAATATTAAAAATGTATTTACCCTTAATTTCAAAGCTTTATTTGCACACAGAAGAAGATATTTTGATGAAAGCTGAAAACCTGTAACCATTGACTTCCAGTGTTAGGGAAGACAACTCTTATGAAAGTCAATGGTTACAGGTTTTCCACATTTTACAAAAGAACTTATTTTGTTTTATTAACTGAAACGAGACACTGAAACAAGTTTGTGACAAGTGAAGGCTGAATAAATGACAAAATTTTCCGTTTTGGGTGAACTATGCCTTTAATTTCAAGTGATTTTGGAGAAAGATCAGTAATATTAAACCTTAAAAGCTAAAGTTCTAAATAGAGTTATAGTGCTATCCATTTTTTACTTACCAAGTCTTCATTCATCTAATCATAAATAAATGTAAAAAAGTAAAACAGTAAAAAAAAAAATAGTAGTACTATTTTAAAAAGTGATAGTAAAATTTAATTACTTTTTAAAATATATTTTTATGTTAATGCAATATTATTTTAATATTATTATTATTTTAAAACCTATTTTAATCCTGTAATTGCACATTTTAATTCAGTATTCGAAATCATTCTAACATGATGATTTGCCACTCAAGAACATTTCTTCTTAATCATTATTGTCTTTGTAAGACTTACACATTTTGTATTTCATCTTCATCCTTTTCTTTTGATCAATTAATAAACAAATGTATTCATTTCTTTCTAAATTAAATCTTTCTGATCCCAGTCTATTGAACATTACAGTCCCTCCCAGTACACAAGAATTGTTGTTATTTCAGTGGATCTGCAATGCAAGCTTCTTAATTATGTAAACATTAATAACTCCCTGGCAGGTGTGTTAAAGCAAGTTGAAGCTAAACTCAGCAGGACACTGGCCCTCCCAAATCGAGTCTGAACACCCCTGCACTAAAGGGGCCATGAGAAAGCTTGAAGACCCTGATTTAGAGCTTTACCTCCCTCTAGTGGACATTCACGTTTCAAAATACATACAATATGAAATCATCGCTTTTCATTTTCACCTGCATGCCAAACTTGCTATACTGTCCTTCTTTTTCACACTTTGCATGTTGATGTCTTCTCTTCGGCTTTGACATTTACAGTAATTTGCATGTCATCTGCTGTGATATATGAATTCTGCATTTCTATCACTCATCCTCTTTTTTTTTGCTTTGATTTTGTGCATGTATTCTGTGATGAGAGATTAACCTTTTGTAATAAAACTGACAGAATGAGTCTTGTGCTTTGCCTGTTTAATTTTCATAATAATCAATTATGTCTGTACTCTCAGAATTATATTATAATTCTGTTATGTGTTGTTTTTGTGTTATTGATTTGGCAGTTTTAGCATTTCAGAATTATGTTATGTTTAGTTACCAAAGGCACATTCCTATTATTTTGTGAACTGTCTATGATTTTCATCTAATTATTCAATTATTTTATGCTAATTTATTAATTTGAATTTTACAATAACACTGGTCATGCAAACACTGTAGCTAAGTGTTTGTCAGTTCAGTTTTATTGTTAAATCCTGTTTCGTACACAAACACAGTCATTATACACACTGTCAAGTTTAAGGGATGACAACCAATCTGGCTATGAATTCCCTAAATTATCATTGTATGTGTGTACAAAACATAAAACACTCTCAGTGTGCATTCTGGAAGTTTCCCCATTACCCATATTCCCATAATAAAATTAATATTTATTTATTTACTTATGTATTACTTATATTACAATGTATACAGCAGACCACTATACATGTATACAGTATATATATATATATATATATATATATATATATATATATATATATATATATATATATATATATTATTATTATTATTATTATTATTATTAATATTATTATTAAAGGCATAGTTCAAACTGAAAATTGTCATCATTTACTCATCCTCCACTTGTTCCAAACCTGTTTGAGATTCTTTTTATTTCTGTTAAAGATGGGAGAGGATGTTTTCAAGAATGTCCAGTAATTAGTAGCCATGTTTCCATTCACCTACTATAATGCACATTTTGGAATGTGGCATTTAAAAATACTTAAAGAAAATGCCAACAAGCAAATGATTTTGGAAAAATATATATACATAAAAAAAGTGCACAACGGAATAAGATAAACTTTATATCCAACTAAAATGTGCATAGACTATGATAGAAACACATTTTTCAAATGAATTCCAGCATGCACATCAAAAAAGGCATGTGACTTTGTTTTAACAGATCATATGATAAACTGTAAAACCCAACAGTCAACTTTATCAAATGAAATGAGTGTACTTAACTCAAAATTGACTGAAAGTTGATACCTCTCATTTGAAAAAAGTTTTGAACTCAGTGTTGAAGGTAATGAGTTAATTAAATACCTCATTACTTCAACTTAAAAAAGTTCACAGTTAGTGTTTTAACTCAAAGGGTTTGTAGCAATCGGTTTCCTCAAACGGTTTGAGTTCTCTTCATTTATTGGGTTTTACAGTACTCAGATTGAATACTCAATTGGATTATGTTCACAGTACTCATTAGGATTAGTTTTTGAACTTAAACAATTTGTTGTAATCTGTTTCCTCAAATGGTTGGAGTTACCTAAACTTTTTGGGTTTTACGGTGTAACAAAAGGAGCACAAGGGGATGGCATTAATGGACAAATCAGAGGAAGATCTGACATTAAACAACATCTGAAATATTGTTTTGGTCATTCTAAAAATCCTTCAGCTAAAGCCCATCATTAAAGTTGTTCAGTATTAATACCTCCAGAACTATCATGAGCATCAGTGCTCCCAAAGTGCAGTCTAATGTATCAAAAATCCATCACGCGTTCATTGTGTTTAATCTTTCAAGGTGCAAGTCATTTATTATATAAGCAAGTCCACAGTGGCTTCGTACCACAACAAATTTTACTCCAGTTGATCAATAAGCGACATGTTTTATTTCTTTGACTCATTGAATTGAAACTTTACTCAAAAATTATTTATTCGATCTTGCTGATTTATACATAAGTTTAACTATGTTGATGGAAACATATCTATTGACTTCCATAGTATTTGATTTATATGGCTACTAGTGCTCGGCATTCTTTAACAGAAGAAAGACATTCATAAAGGTTTGAAGCCACTTAAGAGTGAGTAAATGCACTATTCACTTAATTAGGGTTGTTCAATTCAAGTTTTGTGTATAGCGCTTTTCACAATAATTATTGTTTTAAAACAGCTTTACAAAAGGTGCATATTACAATTAAAATCTGGAAAGTTAAAGAGTATAGGGAGGACATTGCATATAAACATAGTTAACCTGCAGATATGTATGTAGTCCTTTCAAAAAAAAAAGCTGACGTATATGTGTACATGTTCAATGACATGTATTTGTGTTGTCCTTGAAGACCTTAGTGACTTGTTGTCACTCATAAACTTCAGTACGTGAGTTGTTAGGTGTTTTCCTCCACTGAATATAGATTGACAGTCATTGTCGCTACTAGCTAACTTTTCAAAGTGAAGTGAAAAATTTTCCTTTTAAACGTCACTAAAAATGTAATAGCAGAGTTGCGATAAGCAAATGACAGAATTTCAAAAATTGACTGATTACAATGTCGGCACCCACACACTGAAAAGATAAGTGACTCACAACTTCTGATGCCACACTAACGTAAAGCCATTATGACGATATGTTGCTGCTATAGTATCGATATGAATGATGTTGTGGTTTATGTGAAGAATAATGGGCCAAACTCCTACACGTGACCCCATTTCTGTCATCTGTTCATTGAAGAATGTGCAATCCAGCCCTGTCAATTTCCTTCAGAAACGCGCACACACGTTCACTCCAGTGGTGGGCAGATAATTTGCAACGCATGAGGCATTTAAAAGGCTTTTAAGGAGGCAGTGCTTGAAACACTCTTATATAATCAATCTTGGGGATTATATAAATGGAGATGCTTGTTTCTCAGGACGAATGTCTTTATGGCTTGAGTTATTAAGATGAATCTTTTCTTTAAACTGATCGTGCTCAAAGAGATTTGTTAGTGAGATGAGAGGTACAGGTACTATAACAGTGAAAGCTAAGTCCATGCTGCTAAATAACTTGTCATTGTTTTGGTAGAATTGAACATCTACAGTGAATCAATGTGTTTTTTCTCATGCTCTCTACAGAATTACAGATGCAAATGGAGAAACTGGGACAAACCGCGTAGTGGCCAACATCCATTTGGTGGATCTCTTGCTCTAAAGGTGGTTAAGAAATGCGAATCAACAATATTTGTGAAAATACATTTGAAATATGAACACTTGGGCGACCCGGTGGCTCAGTGGTTAGCACTGTCGCCTCACAGCAAGAAGGTGGCAGGTTTGAGCCCCGGCTAGGTGAGTTGGCATTTTTGTGTGGAGTTTGCATGTTCTCCCCATCATCTCGTGGGTTTCCTCCGGGTGCTCCGGTTTCCCCCACAATCCTAAAGACATGTGGTATTGGTGAACTGAATGAGCTAAAATGTCCGTATGTGTGTGAATGCAAGAGTGTGTGGATTTTTCCCAGTGCTGGGTTGTGAATGGAAGGGCATCCGCTGAGTAAAACATAGATAAGTTGGTGGTTCATTCTGCTGTGGCGACTCCTGATTAATGAAGGGACTAACCGAAGGAAATTAAATTAAATTAAATATTAACACTTTTCAAGAAAAAAAAAATACTTTGAGGTAAGGCTATGCGATTAATTGAAATCGAACTGCAATTGTGATATTAAATGAGCTCAATTTTATTCTGCCCAATCAGAATTGCGCAACCGAACTATGCGAACACCCACAATAAAACAAACAAACAGGAAAGCGAGGACAAGTGGGATGATGACATCTGCCACTTCAAAGCATTAATAGATGAATAAATAAATAAATATATATTAATAAACGGCACATTGGTGATATAGCAATATTTTAGTTTCAAAGTTACAGACACAAAACAGGTCATTTGTAAGAGCTGTCACAGAATTGTTGCCACAGCACAAGAAAATATAACAACCAGCACCTTAAAAAGCATGGTAACAGCAAAGTACACTTTCAGAGTTGTTTGCAGAGTTGTATGGTTACACCATATGAAAAAATATCACGAAGCCACCAGGAGACAACTAACGTCATAACTTACTACTGTTTGCTCTAGAGAAAAATTTAAGTTTAATTTCTGAATATTTATAAACAAATTTAAATAAAAGTTGGAATTAGTTCATATCTTTTCAGTTCCTTTTTTAACTAACACTCACTGCTTTTTAGCAGTAAAATGCTAAAATACACAATATTAAGCTGAAACTTGACAACAATCACAATTCAAATCGAAATTAAAAAATATCTGTTAAAAAAGCAGCCCTACTTTGACTTATGGGCATTTTTTTTTCTTTCATGGGATAAAAAAAAAGACTTTTTCTCTTGACTTTTCTTTTCAAATATGTTACTATAAATTTAGCCATATTGAATAGACTTAAAATTGCAGGTTAACAATTTGTAATCTTGGAATTAAGTAATGCAAATTTAATAAACATTGATTTGTGAGTTCAAATTTTAAACATAGAAATGTTAGAATTTTTTGTTCACATCTTGCAATGTTGATTTAATTTTTTCGCAGAACGGCAAAAGAAAAAGAGAATTGTGTGGAAAAACTTAAGATAATCGAAACTAATCAAAACATGAAATTCTGAAATAAAAAAAACTAAAACAAAGAAATGCTAGAAAAAAGAACATTTTATGTTGCTTTGTACATAATTACAAATAAAAATAAAAATAAATAAGAAAAAAATCTCTTGTCTTGGAGTTTGTGGCTTTTCTCAGAATTTGAAATTTGTCTTTCTCTTTTTTGTCACAATTATTAAAAGACTCAAAACTGTGAAGGAAAAGGCCTGATTTTTAAAGTAATTCTTGCAGTATGTTTTCACCCCAAGAATTGCATAAAAGTCAGGCTTATATGACATAAATTCAGAATTCTGCTGTTAGCATTACAAGATAAGCTTTTTAATACAATAACCAGGTGTAGTTCTGAATTACAGATTAATAAATTAAAACTAATTACAAAATAAGTCTATTTCTCTCCATGACATTTTCATCATTCATTTATTTTCCTTCAGCTTAGTCCCTTTATTCATCAGGGGTTGCCACAGTGGAATTACACCACCAACTTATACAGCATATGTTTTTCACAGTGGATCCCCTTCCAGCTGCAACCCATAACTGGGAAACATCCATCCACACTCATTTACATACACTAAGGCCAATTTAGCTTATTCAATTCACCTATAGCAAATGTCTTTTGACTGAGGGGAAAACTGAAGCACCTGGAGGAAACCCATACAAACATGCAAACTCAACACAGAAATCCCAACTGACCCAGTTGGGACTCGAACCAGCGACCTTCTTGCTGTAAGACGACTCTGCTAACCACTGAGCCACCATGTCAGTCAGTCATTTTCCTTTCGGATTAGTCCCTTTATTAAGCTGGGGTCGTCACAGCGGAATGAACCGCCAACTTATCCAGCATATGTTTTTATGCAGTGGATGCCCTTCCAGCTGCAACCCATTTATGGGAAACATCCATACACACTTATTCACACTTATACACTACGGACAATTTAGCTTATCTAATTCACCTATACCACGTCTTTGAACTGAGTGGGGAAATCGGAGCACCCAGAGAACATGACGTTTTGTTAACTAAAAAAAATTTTGATACCTGTGTTCTTTCTTTAGTTAACAATAGTAAACAGAATTTTGAATTTTAATGACAGTAAGACTTGAAAGAAATACAACATCAACAAATGTTAGAAATGATGGATAAAAACTCTTTTAAAAGAATTTTGAAAGCTATGATTAGACAGCTAAGCATAAATAATAAACCTTCAAAAAACGGAAGATGCTGCTGTGATTTTTCAGAATATTGAGTTTTCTTTTGATATCTTTGTGAAACAGACTGACAATAAAACCTCATGATGTTTCTGTGTTTTACTGACAGCTTCTTGATATGCCTATTATCTGGACTAATGAATGAATTTGTCTGTATTGTGTATTTTTATGTCTATATTAATTAGATGTTCTTGTCGGGATCATCACTGTTAGTCCTTATTTGCTGTCCAAATAAACTTTGTCTCTATTAAACACAAAATTAAAAACAAAGTTCCTACAAAAATAAAAAGTCAGCCTCATTTTGTTCAAGTCTTTGTTTAAATGACTTATTTGTCCTTTAAAATGTAACATTTTAAATGTTTTAGTTTAACATTTTAGTTGATGTTTTTCATTTTGTTTACACCAAGGAAGATAACAATTAGGATAATAAATATATTTTGTAAGAAAATTGTTTTAAATATAAAATAATATAAATAGTCAACACCACCAAAACTATAACAAAAACAGCTGAAAAGAACAACATACTGTATTGGGAACACAGAGTATTGCTTTACAGCTGATGAATGACAACAATATGAACAACCAAATGGAATACAAAACTCCAACAGATGCTAATAATGATAAATTAAATAAAAAACTATATTGCATTATACTGAGAATTGCTAAAAATTTAGATATAGATAGATAGATTTAGTTTAATTTTAATGTTCAGGTTTTGGAGTGTTTCTGTATTTTGTCATTTTATTAGCTTTTTAAATAAAAACATTTTCGTAGTTTATATTTTATGTACCTATTTTGGTTTTAAGTTTGCTAAAATAAAATAAGAAATATTCAGCTAAAGTCACAATTATGAGTAATAAGTTATTTATAAGTTCAAAGTCCAAAGATTGCTGTCATACCATGGCTGCAGCAGGCGCAATACATTACACACCAGCACCAAGCTGTTTCTTTAGTCTAAACATCAACATCTTGAGTTATCAAGACAATGTGCTGCCCATTACATTATAAACCACAGTAGAGGGCAAATTCTTCAGCAAGATAACACTCATCATACTTCAATCTCCACATCAAAGTTCCTGAAAGCAAAGAAGATCAAGGTGGTCCAGGATTGGCCAGCCCAGTCACCAGATGTGAACATTATTGGGCAAGTCTGGGTTAAAATGAAGGAGGAGGCATTGAAGATGAATCTAAAGATTCTTGAGGAACTCTTGCAAGAACTCTTTCTTTGCCATTCCAGATGACTTTATTTATAAGTTATTTAAGTCATTGCAGAGATTTATGGATGCAGTCCTCAGAGCTCATGAGAGTCATACACAATATTCATTCTTTTTCCACTGCACTATAACTTTATATTCTATACTGTACATTATTTCTGTTAAGTGACAAGACTTTGTCTAAACAAAGTCAGACCTTACTGCCTTAATTAAACAAGTAAAAATCAAGGCATGATCATTGGTAAAATAAGTGTAATCTAGAGGTCTTTCATATAAGCCACTTCTGATACTAAATGATCAACTAGAAGTCAAGTTTTTATTAATATTATTGTTTGTTGTTCTTAAAACCAGGATAGGCAACAAGACTTTTGTCAGGTAGTGTATGCTTAAAAATAGCTACCCACATAGTAAAATCTCTCTGGTCCAGATCTGGCCCACACAATCAGCTTTTGCTTGGCCTGTTTGCCGCATTGAATTATGGTGCACGATTGGACCAAGTCTGGCTTCCCTACAAGGGCCAAACATGGACCATATCTGGGCCAAGTCTCAGCCAAGGTAGCAACCCATAACTGGGTCTGAACTAAGTCAGATATGTTGGTGTGTCCAATAGTATCTGGATGCAGCCTTTATCAGCGACGCAATGTCAGACACAATGCACTCAATGAAGTGAGTGACGTCACTGTGACGGGTAGGGTTAGGGGTGGGGTTAGGTAAGCGGATTAAAAAGCATTAGATGCAGCTCTGATTGCACTGCACCAAGTCTGCATCCAGACCCCTCTCGGTGTGTCACGACTGCAATGAATTTGCTATGGGTGTGCTTTTTCTCTAAGAGACCCGAATGGCAGAATTTTTGCTTTATTAAAAAATAATTTAAAAGTGGGTCATGATAGGCCAAACTTACATGACCCACTTATAAAATTTTAATATCTGGTCCAAATTCTACATTTGATATCTGGCCCAAGTGTGCCGCCCTAAAGATGGTGCCACCTTTGCCAAACCCAGGCCATGTTTGGCCCACATGCAGTATGCCAGTGCCGGACGAGCACCTGCTTTGCCAGCTTTTTGCCAAATCTGGGCCAGAATTAGTTGCTACCTTGGTATTTTAGCCCTGTTAAGAGAAATTCAAACCGGACAAAGCAATGACCTTAAAATTTAGGATATTATAGGTTGTTCTCTTATTTTATTTTAAATCTCCATGGTGTAAAAGTGCAGTTTTGGACAATCTGCAAAAAAATTTGTATTTAGAAAAATCATTCTGAATTTCTTTCAACATGAGGGTGAGTATATACGATTTTTAATTAATTAATTTTATTATTTGGCTGTACTATGAGAAACTAACAGAAACTGGACAAAAAATTATGTTGTTTTCTTTTCCTTTATTATTTCATCACTGTAGTCTTGTGAAAGCGATAGTAGAGTTATGTAAAAAATCAGATTAAAGCTGATCCCTTAATACACTTAAGCCTCTGTATTTGATTCAGTGCACCGACGACTTACAGCAAACTGTCTGATAGCGGGCGTCTAGTGCAAGCTATAGCGAGCAGTTTTTTTTTTTTTTTGTCAGAACCATGAGAATTCTGTGCAAATATATTTTTAGACATGTTCTCCTATATGCGCCTGTGTGTATGAGAGAGCTTGTCATGTCTGTCAGTGGAGTTACTGTGCTGCCATTGGTCGAATCCCACGCATTCAATCAGAGCTTCTGTCACACACACATTCACACACTAACACACACACACATACACACATACATGCACAGGAAGAAACGAGACCTCCAGTGTTAAAGCAGCTCCAGCACTCACGGTGAGTATTCACATTCTCAACTTTTCTATTGATGTCTATTGAATAACATACTGTACTGTCTGACGTCTGTCAGTTTGGAGATGGAGAGATGAATCATTGTGAACCGGCGTCTTTTGAGTTTGAAAAGGGGTCAGATTGACACTCTTTGCCACTTTTTTAGTGTATGGTAGTGGGATGTTCATGAAAGCAGATGATAATTATGAGAACGGGATAGATTATGCAATTTTTTGTGTTGCATTTTCAGTTTGTTGTAGTGTAGGATACTCGTGCTGCTTTTCCGTCAAGTGTGTGGGATGGAAGTGACAAACACAGAGGATGGGGGAAAAAGAGAGAGAGAGAAACACACACAGGCAGTAAACAGATAGAATATCCTTCACCAAACTTGCAGTTGGTGTTGTTTTTTAACCATGCTAGTCTGCAAGCAGATTTAAACTGGAAAGAGGGCGGTAAAAGAGCTTATGAACATCCAAAGATGTTTACCTTTGTCAGTTTTGCAATCAGATCATCCCAGATGGGATAAGTTTGCATTTTATGGATGGTAGTCAACAGAATGTTGAGTCACTGCCAGCTTTCACCCTTGCATATTTCATGATGAAGGCATGTGCGCTGTAAGTTTAGTTGTATGGGGAAATTATTCAATGATTAAAGGTTGAATCTGACATCATTGCGGCAGAACAGATGTGGCAGGTGAGTAATACTGAATTCTGGGTTATTCCTGGAAAAAGAAAACATGATGATGATGTGCAGTTGAAGTCAGAATTATTAGCCCCCCTTTGATATTTATT